GTACAAATGCACAAGGTTGTAAAAGAAATATACCCTATATATATATATATAATTTATTTAACTTTTCGAATTATTTGAATACTATTTGTTGATGATTTTATTAACAACTAATATATATTTATATAGACAATATCCAAATCATTAATCAAAGTACTCATGCTACCGTGCAACGCACGGTTCCCATACTAGTTACTAATTAAGCTTCAAGGATTGGATTTGGATAATTTGAAAAACTCTTAGTGGACTGGATCATTGGAAAGTGGAGGGGCTCAAATAATTTTATACTTAAAAACCTTAGTAGACTAGATCATTATCACTCTATCTACAACAAAAAGCCCAGGGGCAAAGGCAACTAAAGGCCTTGCAGGCCATCCACCCCTGCTCACTCATTTTCATCTGTTTTAGAATTATCCTATACCGAACATTTCTGGTCCACTCAATTTGCCATCGATGTTTTAGGCATATTTATGAGGGAAGTTCAAAAAAACCCAACGAACTTTCTTATTTTGAATAATCAAGTCTTTTGATTTTTTTTTTGAAATAATAAACCATTGAACATTTTCATTTTGAATGATCAATCACTGGACAATTTTTTGAATAAATAAACCATCGAACTTTTAAAAATTAGTTACGTACATTCATTTAACCCAAAAAGGTTACTTGTAATTAGCTATGAATATTTTGAAATAAAAAGAACCTAAATCAATTTAACCATTCCCAAACTATGTCATTCAAACCCCTCGCACTCAACGCATGACTCCCCCCGCCATCAATCTCTCTCTCTCTCTCTTATACGTACTCCCTTAAATTATTGTAAAAAACAAAAATCGAAAGAAATAAAAATAAAAATAAAAAAAGGGATATCAATGGCAGGGGCCAACGACGACAATGAGCGGTATGGAGTACCAACGACGACAATGAGCGGTATGGAGGACCAACGACGAGCGGTGGCGATTGGTTTGAATGGTGCAAAGTTTGTGAACAATCAAAGTAATTCAGATACCGCTCAAAGACAAATTTGGGATTTGCGATCCTAGGTAAGATCGGTCCAAGACCATGGGATTCTTTTCTATCAGATAAGAAGGGTTGTAGTACAAAATGTACTTTAAAACATTCCTAGCCGGTTATAAGTAACATTTTTAGGTTAAAATAATGTATGTGACCAACTTTTAAAAGTTCGATTGTTTACTTATTCAAAAAAATATACAAAAACTTAATCATTTAAAATGAAAAAATTCAATAATTTATTCATTCAAAAAATAAATTGATGAAAATAAAAAGTTGAATTTTCTTTTTAATAAAATTAAGGGAAACCGAAAGTTGAATGGCGTGTCATGAACCAATTCCATGCATGCATGCTTACGTGGAATTTATAATAATTATTACTTTTAAATTATCTTCTCTTTTATTTATTTTTTACTCATTCTTAGAAATTACTATAATAAGCAATTTTAGAAGAAAAAACAGTTATATCATTTACATTTAAATATGTTTTTTTACCTTTAAATCTATTCACACTTGAATAAATTATTTTTTACCACAAAGCTGATTTCTGATTGGTTTGAGCTTGTACACACACAAAGTTGATTTCTGATTGGTTTGAGCTTGTGCACAGACCAAAAGTGACCGGAGGTCCCGCGTTCAAATCCAAAGAGAAACAAAAATCCCTTGTGGCCACGGAAGTTCAAATACAATAACTCCGGGCTACCCGCAAAGCAGATGATCGTCCTAGAATTAGTCGGCTTGCTTAACGAGTTGAATATTCAAGTTAATAAAAAAAATAATTTCTTAAAAACTAGTTATTTCATTTTTACAAAAACGACATCGTTTGCAATAAAATAAAATAAAATACATGGTCGGTAATTTTATTAACTTATCAAGTAGCAGGCAGAAAATCTACGAAATGGTGTGAAACATACAAATCGAATGTATGTTTTTATATTAAGTATTATTATTATAATATATTTTATTAAAATATTTGTAAAATATATAAAATATTACAACAAAATATTACAACAAAATATAAAGAAATTCGCTTTAGGGTTGTTTGTTTATCTCTTAATAGTTTCATTAAAAGACAGTCTCTGAATGGTTAAAAAGTGAATCTTGTTTGAGAAAAAAAATTATGTCTCTTAATGGTTCTAAAATCCTCTGAATGATTTTATATCATGGGCCTCACTTAACCATTCAACGCCCTAATTTCATCGTAAACAATTACCAAACAATTATATTTCATTTTGCACTATATCATAGAAGTCTCTTAACCATCCTACACCAAACCATTCAGCAACTGCAAAACAATATATGATCTATCTGTTTATCAGTTAAAATGTTTATAAAAAATAAAAACAAACTAGTGATTGTTAAACTAATTAAGGGGAAAAAATATTTTGACATTAATTAAATAGAAAAGACAAACTATGGCTAAATTATTATATAATAAAAAAATTACAAAAAAGCCCTTCTTGATCATACCATTGGACATGAGGTCACATTGGATTAGCATCAAACCACTTCACCAATGAACATGCTAAATCTTGATCTTATCTATCAATTCATCAACCTCCAATCTCTCAATTAAACTACGTGTAAATTGTCAAATTTGAATCATTAACCCTAAAAGTTGAGATCTTTAATACCCATCTATATATACATATATATGTATATATATTATATATATGTGCACACACACATATAGATGATTATAAGATTGAACAAGAGTTGGATTTGGGAGGTACACAGATATGAAATTGATCTGTAAGGGAATGGTTTCTGTGTTGTTTATAATGTTGTTGATCATGTTAAGTGCAAGTGGCGATGTAACTGGTACAAGGAAAATAACGATTGCTAGAAGAGCATTCGTGAAACAATTTGAAGCAGACGTTGCAAGTGGAAAGAACGGTTACCCGAGGAGAGTGAGTCCTGGAGGGCCTGACGCTCATCATCACTAGCTATCACCTTAATCAGGTAAAACGTTTGTATGCGTATACGGGCAGTCATACATATGTAATGATGTAATGGATTATAGTAATAGTTGAGATATTTTATATACTGCAAATAAGTCATATGTGGCCTGGGATACCACCTATAGATGAGATATGTTGGGTTTGTTTGGTTTTGTAAGTCAGACATGAGTTCAACCAATGGACCCTACATGTTGCATATGCGGGTTTGACCAATGGCCCGTATGTGTTTTTGTGTCCATGTGTGGACAGTTATAACCCTCCTACTCCCACATCTGTCGTCGTATGTGTGTCATCATACAACGGTGGTTTCCAAATGGAAGCTCAAATGATTGTTTATCAATAATCTCATGTTATATCCCTAATGTTTCCATGGCTCAAAGGTAGAGATGGGAATGTGTCGATCTGAACATATCTGAAAGAGTCTGCCTTGGTCGACAATTGGTCAATCCGGCCTTAAAAAGTGGTCCACGTTTGGCATGCTAAGGACCGATGGTCTGGCGTGGCCCACTTTATCCAGTCCAGTCTTGGTCTGTTTGCCCACAACTACTCAGAAGCCAAGGTTTTTTTGTATGTGTATGTCACAACTCAAAAGTTCTCCAACTCACGATGGGATGCATAGTGACAAAAATGTTACTTCTACGTCGTAGAAACTTTAACTATATCTTCATCAAACAGACACTCTGTTACTCCACTTTTTGCTTTTTACTTTAACATAAAACCAAAAGAGTGCTTACACAACTGTATGTCAGTATTTGATGCGGCAATCTATATAACGACAATAGAGTAACACCCGAAATTCTTGGTATCCGATTTTGAAGGGTTTAAATTGCGTAATCTGTTTTTTGGAGGGTTTAGTTGGCTTTATTTTATACTAGTATGGGAACCGCGCGTTGCGCGGTAG